CTACTTCCCACCCCAAGTGGGGAGGGTGGGTGCGGGGGGGTGGGTGCGTGGCCGGTCTCAGCACCGCCTCCTTGTCCTCAGCCCTTTCGGACCCCGCGGCCAAGGAGAACTGCATGATGCACCTCCTGCGCTCGCTGCCGGACCCCAATCTCATCACCTTCCTCTTCCTGCTGGAACACTTGAAAAGGTAACACCCCGCTGCACCCGCCGGGGGCGCGCATGGTCCTGCGGGCCAGGCGGGAGGGGGGCTGCTGATCAGCCAGAGGGTCTGGGCCGTGTGTGCAGGACACCCCGCCCACATCGATGCCTGTGCATTGCTGGCGTGAGGGCCCCCCATGGTACCGCGACCCGCCGTTCTGCTGCTGCCGAGGACCTGGGAGCGGGGAAGGCGCTGGGCTGCCGCACGCGGGGCCGGGATGGGGCGGGCGGCTTGTGTTACTCGCTCCAGAGGCATTTTGCTCTCTGGTTTGGTGCACAGTAAACAGAACAGGCAGGGGGAGGGGGCAGCGGAGGGGCCTGGAAGGAAAATCCATTCGGTTTCCAGGCTGGGAGCCGGGCACGGCCCGTTCCCACATCTGCTGTCCTGGCCGGGCCCGCGTGTGGGGAGCGCAGCTGTCTTCTGCCGTGGCGTGTTGTGACCCTGGTCTCCCTGGCACTGGGCGAGGTTGGGGGGTTGCAGAGCCTGGAGGAGGAGGCACTGGGGGTCCTGGGCTGTTCCCAGAGCCAGTTCCCACTGCTCCCTGGGCAGTGTTGCCGGACAACGCGGGCAGGTCCCAGCTCTCCGGGAAAGATGGCCAAAGCTGTCTGGGCACTGGGCCAGCTCGTGCCAGGCTGAGCAGCCAAGCCAGGGACTGGGGAGGGGAGGTGGGAGCTCTGCATCTGCTGTGGTTTCCCTCTGCCTGGGCAGAGCCAGCCGGGCACGGGGCCGATGCCTGCACCCTGCAGTGGCTCACGCGCTCCCGATTCCCGCAGGGTTGCCGAGAAGGAGCCTGTCAACAAAATGTCCCTCCACAACCTGGCCACGGTCTTTGGCCCCACCCTGCTGAGGCCCTCGGAGGGGGAGAGCAAAGGGCACCCCACCCTGGCCTCCGACATCTGGTCCCACGATGTGATGGCGCAGGTAGGAGGAGGGGGGATGCATTTCCCTGGCCCCCAGCGCTCCCTGCTGGACACGCTGTGCAGGACCGGGGCTTGCTGCCAGCTCCCTGGTATACACCCGTGCCACAGCCTCCTGACATGGCACTTCCCTCGGGGTCTTAGCCCGTGCCCCACCAGCCGCCTGGGGCACCGTGATGCCCACCATGGACCAGCCCCTCCCTCGGAGGTGCTTAATCACCCAGCCTTGCCTGCCATGGTGTCCCTGCCTGCCCAGAGCCTTCCCCTGTGGGCACCCCTCACGCACTGCCCTCCCCAAGGGTGGAGGTTTTTTGCTCCAGAGCAGGTGCCAGACAGTAGTGAGGGGTGGGGACAGCTGCCCCGTTGAGTTGGGAGGGGGCCATGCTCCTGCTGCAGGTGACGTAGGGGCCCCAGGCTCTTCCCCCAAGTGCCAGGATGGAACAGAGCCAGCACTGGCCCGTCCCGGAGGAGGTGGGCATGCACGTGGGGCGACCCAATCCTGGCTGGGCCTGCCGCACGGGCACTGACGCTCCTGCCTGCTCCATGCGGCCTGTCTTAGTGCGTGCGGTCCAGCCCCTGCCCGTACGTGCCTCATGGGGCAGGGCTGCTGGGTCCGTCTAACCTGGGCTTCAAGGGGCGGGTGGCTCGGGGCAGGCCTGGCCCTGACGCTCTCTTCCCGCTCCGGCAGGTCCAGGTTCTGCTCTACTACCTGCAGCATCCTCCCATCTCCTTCACCGAGCTGAAGCGCAACACACTCTACTTCTCCACGGACGTGTAGGCGCTGGGCGGTGCCGCTGCGAACACTCCCGGCCTCCTGCCGCGGGGGCAGCGCAGCCGGGGCGCTCCTTGGCAGGAGAGCGGCGTGCTCCTGGGACTGTGGGAGCTGCCCGCTGTGCCCGGCCCTGCACCCCCCCTGTACAGTAGTCGTGTCTTACGTACCTTTGTGTTCAGGAATCATTCTATGTATATTTGGTCAACAGAAGAGGTCGTAACGGCTGCGGGCATGGGTGCCCCCCGGACTGTTCCTGCCCGCCTGGCGCCCCTCCTCTTGCCCAGCTCGAAGCCTGCAGCCTCCTGCCAGTGCCTGTCTCGTGCCTGTCCCCGTGCCTGCATGCGCGGCGTCGGCTTGCTTCAGCCGCTCGGAGGCCGAGGGCTCCCGGCAACGACCAGCTCCGCTTTGCCTTGCTGCCTGTGCGCCCGTTGGACCTCGCGACTGGACTGTGCTCCCCCGGTGAGCCTTTGCTCTGGGAGCTGGGGGACTCGTCTCCCCTAGGTGCTTTGTGGCCTGCCCTGTGGCCCTGGCCTCTGCTTCTTGCCTGTCTGTTGTGTAGCACTGTGGTTCCCTCCCCGTTTCTCCTCTTCCTGTGGGGAACGATGCTGTGACCCAGCCTGCAGCAGCTGAGTGGGGCTGTTTTGAGGGGGGCACCCACGTCCTACCCTGTCCACCAGCTGCCCCCACAAAGGTAGGTCGCCCTGAGGCACCACGATCACTGCAGGTCCCCCAGGAGTGCGCTGGGCCCTTGCTAGTGCCAAGCATGGGAGGACTGCCTGTCCCTGCCAGCCTCGTCTGGGCCTTTGCCTTAGCTGTTTGCACATGTTCCTCTCCAGCCGAGCACTGCCACTAGGGCAGCCACTGGGCCCAGCTGAGCCAGCAGCAGCTGCCTTCCTCCTGCAGGCGTGAGACAGGGCGACCCTGTTCCTGCCATGCCAGTGCCAGCTCTGGTCAGGCACGAGGAGAGTGGAGGTGCTGCCTTGCTGCACCTTGGTGCTAGGCAAACACAGGTGGGCTTTGGCCACCCACTGCCCCTTTCTGCAGCAAGGCAGGGGGCGTCTGAGCTCCAGGGAGGGAAGTGGAGGTAGAGTTGCTCCAGCCCAGGGCTGACATGGAGGAAAGCCTTGTGTGCTAGAGACTTCCCTGCATCATCCCCGTCAGTGGCTCCTGGCCCCGGAGGGATGTCTGGGGGCTGCTCTGCCCCCCTCCTGGGACAGCCTGCAGAGGGATGGTCCCCCCTTCTCTGGGAGGTCCTGCCCCATCTTGTGCCAAATGACAATGGATGCTGCGGGGCTGGCCCCAACGGCGTGGCCCCTCACCCTGACTGTTAACTGCTGCAGGGCGAGCCACCTGCCTCCTGAAGGCACCAGGTATGTCCCCAGTCGTCCCGTTCCTGGGGCGACAGTATCTGCCAGCCCCCACACCAGCGAAGGAGGGGGAGGCCTTTCCGCCCCCTCTCAAGGGCTCTCGCACTCCAGACCCCACTCTGCTCAGAGCGGAAGGGAAATGACATTGTACAAAGTACCCAGGCCTCTCGCCCTCCCCGGCGTCGGACTCCGGAACCGGGACAAGGGCGGAGCTGACTGCACAAACGGATCCCGCGTCTGTCTGATTTGTTACATGTGTCCAAGTCCCTGTCCACGATGGCGTACTTCCACGTGGTGACTGTACAGCCAGCCAGCCCCCATGACTGCCCACGCAGGCCCTGGCCCTGAGGGGTAGGGGTGGGGGGGGCGCTGGACTCTTGCAGCTACAGGTAGAATAGAACTGTTCATTCATATTGGACTTTTAACGAGCTGTTAAGGATATATTTTTTGTGTTCTGTTAAACATATGTAGATTCTGAACTTTAAATGGATGTAAAGTCTGTGAGGAGACTATGTTAATAAATGCAAAGCCCTGATGTTTGCACAAACGGAGCCGCGGTGTCCATGCTTGCGCCTGCTCCGCTGCCCTCATGTCACAGCAGCTGCTACGCTTGGTGCTGTCCGTGTGGCCAGGCTGGGCTGCAGGGCAAGTCCAAGGGCCCAGAACTAGTCCAGCCTCAAGAGAGACTGCCTGCTGCAGCTGCTTGTTTCAGGGACACTGCAGCCCTGCTGAGAGCCAGGAGTGCCGGAAGGCAGTGCAGAAACCCGGCTCTCAAACCTGCCAACCCTGCTCCACCCTGCAGCTGGGAAAGGAACTGATGGACACAGGAGACCATAGAGCAGCCTCCTTCCAAGAGAAGCACTCAGCCCAGCGCACGGGTGTCGCTGGAACAGGAGCGGTCAGGGGTCTGGCCTGGAGTAAGATGCCTCTCCATTAAGGCAGACAGGTAAAGTGGCCCCAAGCCCCTGGGCTAGTCCCGCTTGGTCTTGCAGGGCAGCACTTTGCTTCCATAGCTCAAGCCTGCATGGCCCCAGTTAGTGCACTAGCGTGTTGCTGTGCAACTCCAGCACTATCGGGAGGGCAGTGGTCCAGCCCCATGGTTGGGCAGGGCAGCATCACAACCTGCTGCACACCCATGAAGAGCTTGCTGCCACCGCCCGTCACAGCGAGCTGCAAAGGGCCCCTTCTCATGCCCTTTCCTGCAGGCAGGCTTAGCTGGGGCTGCAGAGCCACAAAAGGGAAGCTGCAGGGCATGTGGATGTGCCTACCCAGCTCATGCTACTGCTGCCAGGGCAGAGCGTGGGTAGAACCAGCTGCCCATGTGTCACCTCAGTTTAACTAGGGGGGTTTGCAGCCCACACTGCCATAGCTGTGCTGTGCTTGGTGTCGCAGAGGCACCCTCAGGTGCAGCAGACAGGCCTCTTGCAGTCAGGGCCCCCGCACTTGCCAGCTGCACCTGCCTTACCAGAACCTGGACTGGGGGTGCAGGCTGCCCAGTATGTTCCAGCAGGCTCCCAGCCCCCTCCCCAGTCTCTCTTGCAGGAAGTGCTGAGACTCCTTGGTGGGTGGGAGCAGTGCTGTGCTGTCACGGGACTGGCTGAGCCACTAACCACCCACTGCACTGCTGTTCCTTGACAGAGTGTCATTACAGGGGCCTCCCCGCCCCGCTGGCCAGCAGCAGTTATTCACTGTGCAGCTGCCAGGGGTTAATTCAGGTCAGACATCAGCCTACTGCAGAACAAGGCCTCCTCTCCATTAAGCTTTTATTTCAGTGCGACCAGTAATTAAACAGCACGAGGCCAGGAGAGGCGTTGCTGAACCCCGGGATGCCCAGCTCCCAGGTACCTGAAACAAGATGACCTACGCAGCTGGGCATTGGCCGTGAGCTGGAGCCTACAAGTTCTCCCGCACGATACTGCACTGCTTTCCAGCAGAGCTGTGGCTGCAAACCAGGTACCATTAAACATCTGCAGCAAGTCATGAGATGGGTCAGCCGAGTCTCCGTATCCAGGGAGTGCCTGCAGGGATCTTTCCACATAGGCAATGCATTTGATAGCAGTCAGACCCCAAAGGGTCTGGAAGGCAGGGGGAAAGCAGGCTCCGTTCCCGGAAACGGACACAGTCGGCCAATTCATTCGGAGGATACTGACCACTGAGCCTGGCCCTGCCCCAAGAGGCTCCAGCAGTTGTGCTGAAAGGCAGCCTGCCAGCGCTATGGGCTGGCCGATTGTCAGCTGTGTAGGAAATGCAGCAGGCAACATCCAGCTTGCTCTGGTGGACAAGCCCAAGGCAGAGAGGCAAGGCTGGTGGCCCCACTGCAGCTGGGCTGCGCTCCCCCGGACACCGCTGTTACCGCAGGTAGTAATCGATCACTGCAGAGAAAGCGGCAAAGCCTCCACAGCCAAGGGCCCCTGCTTTCAAACCAGCTGCAATGCAAGAAGAGACCCCTTTCAGTGAAGCTCCCTGGGTTTTGCTTTCACATGCATCCCATGTCGTACTCGTGACCACAGAGGGCAGACTCGCACGAGGTACCGACTTGGCCACATGTCATGGTTTCTCTGCTCCTGAAGGGCGGCAAATGCATTTTGCCAGGTCCAGAGAGGAGCATTTGATTGTACTTGGACTGGTCTCAGGTGCCTTCATGGGGCTGAACACCACAATGGAGGCAGAGAAAAGGATTAGCTTGTCTAGGACAGACACAGATAACGAGCATAATTAGGGGAATGGTTGTGGGCCAGGCGCTTTCAGCACCTATTTGTGAGTGGGTCCCTTTTAAAGAGGGGAAAAAACACCAGCTTTTCTAAAAGTGCCACAACAGCACGACGTCCCCACAGATGTTTCAAGCGAGCCGAGGGGACCTTTCCCTGTCTCTCCCTGCCTACACGCATCCTTCGCACGGTGGAGGAAAGCAAGGGCCGGAGTAACCCCTCGAGCTCGTGAAGGGAAGCGGTTCACGCGCTGCTGGGGCAGCGTCCCCGTCCCCCCACAAGAAGAGACCCCGCAGGGGGCCGGGGACGAGAGAAGCTCCCGGCGCCGACCAAGACCTGACCCACCTCGAAAGCCGATCGCTCCTCCTGTGATGCAGCCGCTGGCGACGCTGTTCTTCCAGTCGGACTTGCCGCGGTACTGCGGAGCGAGAGATGCGCGGGGGTCACGGGCGGCATCAGATCGGCCCAGGAGCCGCTTGTGATCTTACAGGGTGTGGGCAGGGGGGCGCGGCACTCACCGACTCGACCAGGCACTCGGTGCAGGAGAACATGGCGCCCACGATGGCGAAGTTCTTGGCGTAGGAGACGCCGCGCTGCCCCATGTCCCGCAGCACCTCCCGCGCCGTGGGCGTGCGCAGCGGGTCCTTGGGGTCGAAGCCCACGTTGGTGTCAATGCCGGCCGTGAACACGCCGAACGCGCCGCCCAGCACCAGCCCTGCCGGAGCACGCGGGGGTCAGCCACGGCGGCCCCCGCACCCCCCCCACCCCACGCCTG